AGCCCCGAGGAGGAGCTGAGGGCCGCGGTGCTGCAGCTGCGCGAGACCGTCGTGCAGCAGAAGGAGACGCTGGGCGCGCAGCGCGAGGCCATCCGCGAGCTCACGGGCAAGCTGGCGCGCTGCGAGGGGCTGGCGGGCGGCAAGGCGCCGGGCCGGGCGGCCACGGGCAAGGACACCATGGGCGATCTGCCGCGGGACCCCGGCCACGTCGTGGAGCAGCTCAGCCGCTCGCTGCAGACCCTCAAGGACCGCCTGGAGAGCCTCGAGGTAGCAGGGCGCGGGGGTCCTGGGGGAGACGTCCCCGAGGCGCGGGGCAGAGGAGGGGCGCGTGGTCCCGTCCGCGAGGATGTGCGGGACACGGCTGCTCGGGCCCGCTCGGACGCGGGGCGAGCTGGGTTTGGGTTCAGGGGGGGTTCTCGCTCCTGCTCGGAAACTTACTTGCGTGGTTCGCACCCCTCTCCCCTTGCTGGAAGGAAAGGGTTAAATCCCCCGCGCGCCGCCACTGCCCACTGTGCGGCCATTCACTTCCCGAAGTCCGCGTCAGAGCAGTGGGACGGCCTGTTCTCTCTTCTTGCAAATCTCCGAGTCTCCCCGAGCCGGACGCGCTCCCGGAGGCTGTGCCCAGGGACGTGAGGCTGCCGCGTGAGGTCGACTGCCCCGGGCGTCCGGTGTTTCCTCTTATAAATCAGTTCGGGCTGGACCTGAGCGGGCGGAGGCCCGGGGGCTCTCGGCGGGGTGCGAGCGCGGGCGGGTCACCGGCCACACCAGAACGCGCCTTGGAGGAAACCTTGTTAACTTCAAAGACGCTCTGTCCGCAAATTGCGCGGCTCTAGGTGCCCTTCCCTATTGCTTTGGGGGAAGGGACCTTGTGCAGTTCTCTTGGAAGGTGTATGCAGTTTGGAACTTGGAGAGAGAAATCATCATGTAATTTCCGTCTTTACTTTTTGCTCTATTTAAGAAGTGTGGACTTTTCTGTTACACGTTTACCAAAATACTTATTAGCAAAAGGTTTCAATTACAGGTGGTAATTATTGCAAAATTATTTGAGGATTTCCTGTGGCATGATGGCTAAATACAGTATTTCCAGCATCTGTATATCCCTTGACTCATTATGATTAAAAACAGCTAACATTTCTGGAACACTAAATATGTGCCAGGCATATTATCTAATTTTAACCCCTGCAACAGTCCTGTGAGGCAGATTCTATTAACTGCATTTTACAATTTGAAACACAGACAGGGGTAAATCGCTTGCCAAGGACCATGGCTAGGCAGAGGCAGGCTGCCTCCAGAGCCACGTGATGGTGGAGGAGTAAAAGAGATAGGAAGTGAGGATTTAGAACACAGCGTTAAAAGCAAAGATTCCTGGAATTCAGACTAGTCATCTCTCATTTCCCAGAGCATCTCTGCAAGCGTAGTTATTTACTTTTGTGCCCTACTGGAACTTGGAGGCTGTTTTCGTTTCCGGATGAAACCTCATCAGCTTTGAGTACCATTTGATTAACCCTTTTTTTTAAAAATCCTAGCTGTGTTTTGGTCTTTACCTGAGAATGATAGATGTTGGTTAAAATTTTGACTTTTTAGTAAGGGGAGAAAAACAGCTTTATGAGAGGAGAAAATGAGATTCATAAGTTTCAAATATTGCAGCAAAGTAATTCTTGTCTGACTTTGAAAGCCTTTCCACACAAAAAAAGGAAAAAAAAGCATCAGTGAAATGCTCCCCTTCGTGCCACTGGCAGGATTTAATACTCCGGTTTTGGAAGCTTCTCCCTGTGTGCTGGGGTCATTAGAGCTACATTTCACAATTCCTTTTTTAACTGGCCTTTTTTTTGTTTATTATTATTGCTTTTTTTTTGGTGAGGAAGATCAGCCCTGAGCTAACATCCGTGCTAATCCTCCTCTTTTTGCTGAGGAAGACCGGCTCTGAGCTAACATCCATTGCCTAATCCTCTTCCTTTTTTTTTTTTTTCCCCAAAGCCCCCCAGTAGATAGTTGTACGTCATGGTTGCACATCCTTCTAGTTGCTTAACTGGCCTTAATACTTCTCCCTCTTGTGTCCCCTCCCACCGACCAAAAGCACCAGCTCAGGGTGAACGTGTCGAACGCCGCGCTGCCCAGCGACTTTCGAGAGGTGCTCCAGCGGCGGCTCGGGGAGCTGGAGAGGCAGCTGCTGCGCAAGGTGGCCGAGCTGGAGGACGAGAAGTCCCTGCTCCACAATGAGACCTCGGCTCACCGGCAGAAGACGGAGAGCGCCCTGAACGCGCTGCTGCAGAGGGTGACGGAGCTGGAGCGAGGTGAGTGCCTCGCTTGTTTCTCTGTCACCCTCTGGCTGACGTCCCTCCTGGCCCCCCCACCCCACTGTCTTGGTTCTTAGCTGCGGAGTAAGGGAAGCTGGGCTCAGAACAAGGGAGAGCAGGCAGAGACGGGCCAGCCCCCAGCTGTCTTGCCCATTTACAGACGAGGCCGCTTGGGCCCTTGAGGGAGTGGTTGCTCCCAGACCCCTCTTGCTGACTCTTGCCACGTGGCTCTGCTCCCACGTGTGCTGGGTCAGGCCCTCGGGCTGCTCTTCTGTCCGCTCTGAACCTACCTGTCCTCGGTGCAGAAAACCACCTGATTCTCTACCATTCCAGCAGCAGTCCACCTCTCCCTTCCCTGTCTCCCCGATGAAATGTTGCTTTTTCAACCTGGAGTCATCTCTCACGGTGCACAGAGGGTTAGAGCTTCTCGCCCACAGTCAGGCTGACTTGACAGACTTGTTGGCGCATTGCCGGAGAGACGCGGTGGAGACTGAAGGGGCCAGTTGCTGCTGGGAGTGGCCTGGTTTTCATCACTTACAGTCCGACTGGGATGTCAGCAAGTGATGGTGGCGCTACATGGAGGTGGGCCGTGGCTGTCTGAGCAAACAGGAAGGGTAACTGATGATGGTCATCTCAGGAATTAGCCCCACCCCCCAGCCCCACTGGCGTTATCCATGGAAAAGCCAGTGCTCTCAGGACCAGCGTGGGCAAACAACCTAATCCCCGACCTCCCGCCACTTGGGCATTTCAGTCCCTTCTCAGCTAGTCCTTGCAGCAGATACTGTGTATCGTTCTCTTCTCTGCTCACACTTTGGTGGGTAAGTTTCTCCTACAGGAGACAGGAAGGGGAGGGATCATGGGTCCTAGATCATTCAGATTGTTATCAGCCCCCAAGCTGCTGCGTGGACTAGGGGTGAAGTTTCAGGTTTGCTGGGTTTATAATCTTATCAGTTGCGCTAATCCGACAAAGGCAGTTTTTCATTACTTAATTTCATGAATTGATAGGAGAACGGGCAATAGCAGAATGTCCACTTACTCTTTTAGTGACATTGGCTCTGGAGGGCCAGGTGGAGTAGACCAAGGGATGGTGTTTCCGTTTCATTTTACAGCAGCATCCCAGAAGGCACAGGTCTGCTTCGGCCCTTTGCTGTTCTCTTCCTCCAGAAAAGTCTATCCTTTCTTCCTTACCCTTCTCAGAAAAGGGTGAGTGTGGTTTACCTGTTAGACTTGGATTCTTGAGTTTCTGAAAAACGTCCTCTCTGCCTCACCTCTGTTGCCAGGTTACCTCAGGAAACTCATTTGGTCTCAAGGGTCTTCCCTGAAGGCAGAGTAGCTGCAGCTTTGGCCTTTCTCATAGGACAGGAGGAGAGGAAGGCAGTGTCAGGTCCAAGGGGAGGGTGGCTTGCCTTCCCTTGCCCCAGCCTCACCCCCAGTGGAACCTGGGGACATGCAGGGCTGTGGAGCAGGCACACTGTGATTAGTTAGTAACTTGAAGGGGGTAGCTGTAGAATGAGAGGAGGGCTTTGCTTGGCCTTTACCTCACTTGGCTTGGTGGCCAAGTAGCTACAAGGAGGTGGGTTAATAGAAGTCTACTGAGTTAGAACATGGAGTAGTGCCAGGCAGTGTGCTGACCACATCACCCCTATGAGATAGGACTTTTGTTATACCCATTTCACAGATGAGAAAAATGCTCAGACATTTTTGGCCAGAGGTGTGTCATTTGGGGAGAGGGGACCGAGGTGGGGCCTGGGCCACCAGCTGGTGAGCAGCAACAGCCACATAATCCCCCCCTCTGCATCTGTGTTCTGACTCCAGGCAGTTTGTGAGTCTCTCTTGGCTTCCTCTAAGGTCCTTCATCATAGCTTTGGCCACCCAGGAGCTGCCACTTTGTGATTGTCCCTCCCATCCCCAGCCTGATTGTGGCACCACGCTGTGGATGGGTAGGTTCTATGGAAAGCCGTCTGAGCTCAGGTGGCACAGAGGGGAGGTCTGTGAGCTAGAGCTCGGCTCCACAAGGCAAGGCTCCTGGCTGGCCATTCTTGCAGAGCCCCCAGGACCTGGCACCAAGGAGCAGCTCAGCTGCTACTGTCTGCTGCCTTTTGACCCACCACGAGAACTGTAGAATCTTCTGGGTGCTCCACCGGGTTCTGGGATGAGTCTTTGAGAAAAGTGATCATTTGCTGACCGATTTGTCTTCTGGGCAATTCTAAGTTTATATCCATCCTATTTGTGACAAGTATAAAGGGAAATGTGAACTCTCAGCCCCCAAATATACTGTGAGTAGAAAACACACTGTGTTCTCTAGAAGCTTCCAATTGAGCCCAGAGGAGACAGACCTCAGCAACACATAGTGTAGGGGCTTTGGGGGACTCTGGCCTTCAGTTCATCATCCCCTGCCCATTAAGTGCCTGTTCTGGGCCAGACGCTGGGCTGTGAGTTCCGCATTCTGAATCTTCTGTAACTCCTGCCACAACTCTATGAGGTAGGATTTAGTTACAGATGAGAGACTGAGTCAGAGAGCTAATTGACACCTGCATGCACATGGCCAGCAGATTGCCGAGCTGGGGTTGAAGTTGCTGGTGACCCCAGAGGACCAGAGTCATGGAGGCTGCAGCCCGGAGCAGCCTGTGGGCTCCAGCCCTGCTGGGCAGGGGGCTCCCCGGAGCCCAGCGGTGAGCGGCCAACCCTGTGTACGGATACTCATGCTGCCCAGGTCCCAAGGATGCTTGTTTTCTTTGCTGTGAGACCTGCTCATCTGCAGGGTCCTCCAGACTGCAGGCCCACTGGCCAGGCACAGCCCAGCTTGGAGCTGAAGAAAACTTTGGCACTGAGAAGACCAAACCCCTCTGTGTTTGGCCCCAGCTGCCCCCTCCTCAGCTTGTCCACCACCTGCAGCCTCTGATTTATTGGTCAGGCCTTTTAATTCCTTAATTGGTTTTAACTAAGTTTCCTCTGAACCTCCAAGCTGCTTTATATAAAGAGAGGGCATCAGCATTCAGGGTCTGGGCCCCCCTCCTCTGCCCCTCGGCTCTCCCAGCTCCAATTAAACCTATCTGTTGTCACCGAGCTAACAGCATTACCAACACTGAGCCTTATTAAATCAGCCACCTGCCCACCTGCAAGAATAGAAGCCATTTCTCTTTATTAGATAACCATGCCTTCCTGAAGAACATGGTCATTTGCACATTAAATACTAGTGGCTACATGTAGTGGAAAGAGGGACTTCCAGTCCCTGCTCTGTCATTTGCTAGCTGTGTGGCCTAGGGTAAGTCACCTCACTTCTCCAAGCCTCGGCACCTCAACTGTGCAACCTACAAAATCGGGGAGTTGGGGCTTTCTGGGTCTCTCAGTTTTGCTTCAGTCTAACGTGGGGTCCGTCCCAGCCTGTACCCTGTCCTGGCCCCATGTGGCTTCCCCAGGCCGCCAGGTCCTCCCAGCCGCCGCCCAGTGCTCTGCAGCTCCACAGCCTGTGCTGAGAGTGCCCTGCACTCTCAGGATGGGAGGTCAGGATGGACCCGGCAAGACGGTGCCATCAGCAGATAGGAGTCAATAGTACGGGTGAAGCCCAGATTCTAGTGTTTCTTTGCTGCCTGTTCCAGAGAGGTTGAAAGGGTGGCACTGGGCCCTGCTGCTTTTCTTTGCAGAAGGTCTTCCTCGGATAGATGTGAACCATGGCACCAAAGAGCTTCTCTCTCGAATTATTTACTATGACAGAAAATGAGTTTGGGGGACTGTAGTGGAGGAAGGTTTTCGTTCCTGTTCTGTGGAAGGGGCGAGGAGGGGACTGATTTAGTCCACTAGTGACCCAGGCAGTTGGGCTCTGTCAGTTCTGGGTCCAGAGAGCCTGTCTTTATGGCAGTGGAGATGATCTGGCCCCTCATGGGTGCCTAATAAATATTTGTGGAATGAGTGAAGGGTGTTTGGACTCCTTCCCCGGCAGCACCTGGTTCCCAGTAAGAAGCCAGCATTTGCCATGACAGCTCATGGAATCGGGTGGTACCTTGTAGCTTAGGAATCTGTGATAACCAGACAGGGGCTTGCCTTCTATGTTCATTTTGTTGTTGCTGTTAATTTTGAGCTTCAATCAAAACTGTATTGAAAATTACTTAAACCCATTTAGGAGTACCAATTGTTTTCAAAGATTCTGGGAGTACCATTTACATGGGGACAGCCAGGGGGATCCTCACCAGTCCCATGCAGGCCCAGAGGGTCAAGGCTCTGGCCAGATGTGTTAGCCTCAGTGCGGGGGCGACACCCCTGCATTTCTCTGCCTCCCACTGGTCCCAAACTGCAGGAAATGGTCAATAAATGTGATCTTCTCTTGAGGAGGAAAGGGCAGATCATGAGCACAGCAGCTCACGTTGGGGATTTAGCCCAAAGACCATTTCTGAGTTAAGTTGTAGTGTCAAGACATGTGTGCGAGCCTGACTCCTTCCCCACAGCCATGGTGATTTGTTAGTGTGAGAAGTGACATGGACTTACTGGCTTGTCAAGTGTCTATCCAGTGCCTGGGGCCTTGTGACACTTCGGCCTCCAAGCCCAATCCCAGTGGGTTCCCAACCCCACCCTTCCTGAAGGAGCGCAGAGAGCCAAGATTTCAAGGAACAGTTGAGGCCACAGGACTTGGCTGAGGAAGGGTTTTCTGACTTAATTTAACCAGAAAATTGAATCCAGCTTGCCCCTACCCGCTTCCTCAAGCTTTCGAGAGCAAGGATGCTCTTGTTTACTGCCAGGGTTTCGGGATTTGAACAGTGGTTGGCTGGTAGCTGGTGCTCCTCTGCTGGGGACCGACTTGGGGCGGGTTCCAGGTGAGCCGTCACTCTGGGCCTCCCTGGGGGGTGGGCTAACACTCTGCCGGCCTCTCTTCTCTCCCCGCAGGCAACAGTGCGTTCAAGTCGCCCGATGCGTTCAAAGTGTCCCTCCCTCTCCGCACAAACTACCTGTATGGCAAGATCAAGAAGACGCTGCCCGAACTGTACGCCTTCACCATCTGCCTGTGGCTGCGCTCCAGCGCCTCACCGGGCATCGGCACCCCGTTCTCTTATGCAGTGCCCGGGCAGGCCAATGAGATCGTGCTGATCGAGTGGGGCAACAACCCCATCGAGCTGCTCATCAACGACAAGGTGAGGCCTGCCCGGACTGCCACCCTCCCATCGTAGCAGCGACAAAGAAAGAGCGGGATGTTGCTGGGAGTTCAACAGCTGGCTCATAGTGGGGACGGCTTTGCACTGACCCAGTCCCATTCTGGGCAGCTGGCAAGGGTCAGAGGGCAGGGGGCAGGCAGCTGCAGCTTGTGAAGATCCAAGCTATGAGTCTGGCCAAGAAGCAGCAGAGGGTCCAGGCACAGGGGTCTTGGAAGGAACAGAATGAGCTGGGGTCTCTGTGTGCTAGCCTGAATTGTCACTGGCCCTTAGGCCAGTCAGTGAGGGCTGTTCCCCTGGGCTGCACCCGTTAGTGCAGGATGTGTGTGTGTCTCTTCTCTCTCTTTGAGTGTATAATACTTCTCATTAGCATATCTTTTGGGGGGAGTTTGTTGACATATAATGTATATACAGTAAAATTGACACTTCTTAGTCTATGGTTTGACAAGTTTGACAAATGCATACAGTTGTGGAACCACCACAATTAAAATATAGAACAGTTTCATCACCCACCAAAATTTCCTCATATCCCTTCATAGTCAGCTGCCGCCCCTGCCCCAGCCACGGCAACCACTGATCTGTTCCTCGTCCCTACAGTCTTGCCTTCTCCAGAGTCAATGTCCCTTTTTAATAGACGGGCTGGTTTCGACCTTCAGGAGTGTGGTCTCCTCAAGAGATCAGCTCTGGGCATCGTGGGATCCTCCAGTGGCCCCACTGAAACTTTCATTCTCAGGTCAGACGTGACACAGCTGAAATTGTGTCCTCACATCCTCCTTGAATGGCTGCACCAGCTCCCTGGCACCCAGAGACCGGGGAGCACTCACTTGGCCCTGGCCCCTCCTTCTCTCTTCATTGAACAGCCCTGGGTGGGAGTTGTTTAAGTGGGAAATGCTGTGGAATCTGCCTGCCGGACTCCTCTCAGCGGTGACCATGTCCCTGAGCTGAGGATTAATTGTTCTAAATGGTGCCCTTGGACATGGACACGGCAGAGCCGAGAGCCTTGTTTTCCTCTCGGTTTAGATGTCTGTAAACAGCCAATTCCTGGGAGGGAGTGCCGGGTTGCTAGGACACAAGCAGTAACAACAAGATGTTCGCAGTGGAGCTGTGTCGAGGGCTCCCAGGACTGCCAGTACATGGGTGTGGGTCTGAAATGCCCTTTCTCCAGTTTGGTGTGCACCCCCGCACACACATTCACACATAACCGTAGGCCTTCGGTCCTCTGCATGGAGGACACATACACACGCGGTTCCTGGAGGGCCGTGATGGCAGTTAGGACCTTGCCTGCGGAGTGTAGACACCTGGTCTGACTGTTTTCCAAAGTTCGTCCAGTAGAGGCCTGACTTACCTTCGGGTTCTGCAGCCTGAGGCGCTCAGGGCCAGGATGGGGAGGGCTGTCCATCACATCTGCTCAGTCTGCACGGTATCCCGGACCCCCAGCCAAGCCGGATACAAAGGTGTCCAGTTGAAAGCCTGGGGTCATGTACCCAGGCTGCCCCTTTCCCCTTGAGCATCTGTGTCTTACACATGGCATCTCTCTCCCAAGGGTCTCTCTGAGGGGTGGGGTCAGGCATGTTACCCACAGAGCAGAGAAGGGGAGACCAGGAGGGACCCCGCATGATGGGAGCAGCAGTGGGCCCCAGGGCCTCCGGTCCCCCAGGACAGACTTCTGGGAAGCCCACGGGGGGTTCTCACCTGCACCTTGCCTCCCACAGGTTGCACAGCTGCCCCTGTTTGTTAGTGATGGCAAGTGGCACCACATCTGTGTCACCTGGACGACGCGGGATGGCATGTGGGAAGCTTTCCAGGATGGGGAGAAGCTTGGCACCGGGGAGAACCTGGCTCCTTGGCACCCCATCAAGCCGGGGGGTGTGCTGATCCTCGGGCAGGAGCAGGTGGGTGCAGGTGGGGTGCAAGATGAGAGTGTGCTCGCCAGCCGGCAGCACAAGGCTGGGCCTGCAGGCTGCCTGCCCCCTCGCCCCCCACCCCCAGCTGTCTGTCTGCCAGACCTGGCCACTGTTGCACGGTGGCCAACCCAGATGGGTGAGGTCCCTACCAGCTTGGCTCGTGCTATCTTTGGCCTGAGGCAGGGGTCGAGATATGGCCTGCACTTTAGGGGACCAGTTGGTGTGGCAGGTTCAGACAGATTCCAGAATGGAGTCCAGTCCATCACAAGTGAGCAGGAGTGTCCGGGGGACATGGGGTCATGTATGACCCCAAGTCATCTGTCCAGCCCGGCACAGTATTGACTCAGGATTCTGTGAGTGGTGTGGCATTTTCCAGTTGCTGCTGGCTCAGGGTCTCGACCCTGATCCCCAGCAAGGGGCACTTGGGGAACACCTGTGGGGAAGATGGGGAGGGAAGAGCAAGACCTCGGAGGCTGCCCTCAAGAAACTGGCCATCTGGGAGAGAGGAAATCCAAGCTGGCAGTCAGCTCTGGGCGGATAAGAGCTGACAGTTCAGTCTGTGTTTGAGGGAACAAACACCAGGTCCCCTGGGCTCCTCCTTTGCCCCTCCCCTCCTCACTTCCCTGTTACTTCTCCCTAGGAGGGGCTGGGAGCCGGGGAACCCAGGTCTAGTCCTCCCTTTGGGTCTTTGGGCAGTGTCTCTCTGCTGTAGCCTCAGTTTCCCCCTTGTAAAATGGGATGGTTTGAGTAAAGCCACCTCCCAGGCTTGACATCTGCAGAACCTGCGGGAATTAGTGGTCAGGGAGTATAGTCAGAGTAGAGGGGAGTCAGGAAAATGTCCAAGTCCCCCTCCTCCTGTCCCCTGCCTCCCCCTCCCAGGCTGGTATCCTTTCCCTGAAGCTGTTCGTGTGCCCAGAGAATTCACAGTCGTGCTTTTGAACCTGCACTGATGCAGTTCTGTCCCCCTTCTCCCAGGACACTGTTGGGGGCAGGTTTGATGCCACACAGGCGTTTGTCGGGGAGCTCAGCCAGTTCAACATATGGGACCGCGTCCTTCGTGCGCAAGAAATTGTCAACATCGCCAACTGCTCCACGAACATGCCGGGCAACATCATCCCCTGGGTGGACAACAACGTCGACGTATTTGGAGGGGCTTCAAAGTGGCCCGTGGAGACCTGTGAGGAGCGTCTCCTTGACTTGTAGCCACCTTCTCCTCTGTCCGGGAGGCCGGGTGAGGCTGCTCCTGTGGAAGTCCAGGGCCACTTACTCCCCAGTTAGACTGTGTATAAACCTCCTGCCAGAATGGGCTGGGGCCCCCAAGGCCCATTCCCAGGGAATCTCTAAGACCAAGGCTCTGTGGCAGCATTCGTCACCGGCTTATTTGTTCTTTAGCAAGATTTTGTTGTTTTTCGGGGGGAAGAAGCCCTGAGCCGCAGGTGGGGGAAGGTCTGACTTCCTGCTGTGGGGGCATTATAGTCCTTAAGGCCCTGTTCAGAACCCCCTGTAAATGCTAGTGCACCCCAGCCCTGCCCGCCCTCTCGGATCCTTGGTGTCTCGTGTGCGCCTTCTGTCCGTCCCCTTTAGAGGCTGTGCAGCCGCCCTGCTGGAGTGGCCGTGTCCCTTGTGTGTTGAGTACATCCTGCTGTCCACTGAGCACGCAGCAAAGCAGTCCCCCCCGTCGCAGAAGGGCCTTTCTCTTGGTGTTCTTTATGCTGTGAATCTTTCCATCAGAAGAACTCTTGAGCTTGAAGAGGAGGGCAGGCTGCCCAGACAATGCCCTGCCTTCTCCAAGGTGGAGGGGGCGTCCGTGGCTCCAGAGAGGGGAACTTGGAATGGAGAAGGGCTGTGGCAGCCGTCCCTCCCCCTCTGTCACCTCTCCCTGAGACCGATGCTTTGATGGAGTCATCACTGGGGTGCAGCTTCGAAAGGCCTCTTCTCTCCACTGGTGCCAAAAGTTCATTTACAGGCTTCACAACCATTCGGTATGGTTTGGGAGATTTATTTTTTCCCGACAGAAAAGAGCAGCCATTAGCAGGCTCCCGTGTTTGATGTCTTGCCGCACTGTGAGGAACGTGCTAGTTTCAATTCCTGTTGATTCCTGGAAGCATTTGACAGTCTCGAGTATTTTCCCCAGAACTCGTTCAGGAAAGGGATGTCATTTGGCTGATATCTGCTCAGTGACTCCAGGCTGCTTAATTTATTGGACAGAGGTAGTAATTTATTTTAAAGATAAAGTGATTAAGTGGGGAAATTTATAAAACTAAATATTATATATTTTATTTTTCATACATGTTTGAAGTGCAAATCTGTGGAAATTCCATTTGTAGGACCAAGTTGACATGCCCATCCTAACATTGTATGCTACAGGAACTCTTCTGATGATGGAATTTTGATTAAAGTGCACTGGAAGATGCCCTAGAGTCTGTTTTCTCCGTGTCTGGGGCTGACGGCAGGGAGGGGTAGGGCTTTGCACCCCTGGCAGAATAATGGCTGTTCTGGTTAGCCTGGGCCTGGCCCCAGTGGACACACCTGGGGCCTGCGTCTGTTGGCCCCAGGGGAGCCGAGGATGCTTGGAGGAAGGCGTGATGCCTGACTGTACCCTTCCCTCCTCAACTCCAGGCTCAGGCCGTGGATGCCCCACTGGCCCTGCCAAGCCTCCCTGTCCTCAGCCCCTCCCTGTCTTCTCAACCAGGAATTGAGCTTAGCTAGATGACCCTCAGCTCCCTGCCCCAGGTGGGATACCTGTTCAGCACCTACTCTGTCCATGCTTTGCCATACATCTCATTTAATCCTCCTAACAGCCCCCTGAAAGAGCTAATCCCAATTTACAGTGAATACACAGAACAGCTAAACAGTGACTTCTGGATCATAGAGCCGGTAAAGGGCAGAGCTGGGATCAAAGCTGGCCTGTGGCCCTGAAGACCCTACCCCTTCCTCAGCCTGCTTCCACCCACCTGTGCCATCTGGTCTTTGGCTCTGAGGGGCTAGTGCCACTGTGTCCTCCCAGAGCCACCTCTGTACCCACCTGGCCTTGGCAGGTGTGTTGATAGTCCCTCCATCTCCACAGATGTGAGGTACTGCCCCCTCACCACCACTTCCCAGTTTTGCATCTTTACTCTGTCTTGGTAGTAGCAGAGTATAACTGTCCCCTTCCCAAGTAACAGTGTCTGCATTCTGTTATTCTAAGGGAGCAGAGTCTAATCCTGGGACCCAATGACACTGCTGGGTGTACTTGATGCTGAGGCCACAATGGAAGCTGTAACCTCTAAAACCAAGAGCAGTGGGTCACTGAGGTTCCTAGAGTCCATTTTCAATGTTGTGAATTAGGACTTGGCAGGAACTGAATACCATTAGTGGTGGGTAGAAGATGAAATTAGGCCAGACTCCCTGCTTGGGGGCCTTTGGCATCCAACGTGATGAGACCAGGTGGAGAGCAGCTTATTTTGAAACTCCTTCATGATGAAAACCCCAGCTACTGAGATCTCCCTCTGACAGGTGCTGAGGGGTTTCCTTATTTCATACCCCTGCCTCGCACTGCCTCTTCCAGGAGCATACCTTTTCATCGGGGCTTTGGAACCCCTGCTGAGCCAGATCACTTTCTCCCTGCATTTGAAGGAGCTTTGAACTCAGAACATGGGACCAAAGTGCTCCTTGCTGACCTGATGTGGGAAGATGAAAGAACCCATCTCTCCTTACCTTTGCTTCATGCTGGTCCTCCTATTGGAGGTTTGCCCTTCCTGACATAAGAGCAGAAATAAGAATCACCCATGAAATTCAGTGAGTTCCTTTTGCCTTGAGGCTTCCCTCTGAAGGAGACCCATGGCCTCAGTTTCCCCATGCAAGACTTTGCCCTTTTCTTGAGGCTGGAAAACACCTTGATAGTGAATTGAGTGCTCTAAGAAGGATGGGATAGAGTGTCTTGGGTGATGGAATATTCTGGTTTGTTGAGGGTTGCTGTAGAACCTGTAGCTGGATGATCAGTGATAAACGAATTGAAAAGTGATAGAATGCAGCTAAATCAAAGGCAGCCTGGGACCAAGTCTCTGCTGATGGCAAAGGCAGGCCAGGATCCTTCACAGTCTCAGGGTACTCCAGCACCAGTTTCAATATTTTTTATATGGAAGTTCTTGGAAGAGATCTTCCTGTTGAGCACAGGTATTACCATTCATGCTATTCATTCAACAAGTATTTTAGGCACCTATGATGTGTCAGGCACTATTCTAGGCACTGGAGATACACTGGTGAATAGGAAGGCAAATATATAAACAAGAAAAATGCTGGTGATGTGATGGGGGTAACTGGGGAATTACTGTCTGAGGTCACATTTAAGCTAGGACCTGATTGAAAGAAGAAAGCTAACCTTGGGTGGAGCTCCCAAGGCTGAGGGAACAGCTGGTGTGAAGGCCCTAAGGTGGTTCTGAGCTTGGAATGTTCAAGAGAAGAAACAGCCGGGTGGCTGCATACACTGGGGAAGGGGGGAGTAGGAGATGGAATGGAGAGGTAGCAGGGCCAGATCACCAAGGGCCTAAGTTCAGATCTTATTCAAAGTGAAATGGGAAGTCTGGAGGTTTTAAGCAAGGAAGTGTGGTAATTGGATTAATGTTTTAAGGAGACCACTCTGCTTGGTGGAGGGATAATGGACTGGAGAGGGTCGCAAGTGGAAGCAGGGAGACCAAAGAGGAGGCTATTCTATTGGTCCAGGTGAGAGATGATGGTAGCTTGGGCGAGGGCAGTAGCAGAGGAGACAGAAAGAAGTAGAAGGATTTAGGATATACTTGGAAGTAGAGTTACCATGACTTGCTGATATTTGAGATTTGGGGAGAGGAATCAAAAATGAGTTTTTTAAAAGCTTAACAAACTCCAAGTAGGATAAACACAGAGAGCTTCACACCTAGAAACATCAAAATCAAACTTTCAAAAGCCAGATACAGAAAATCTTGAAAGCAGCAAGAGAGAAGCGACTCATACAAGGGCTCTTCAATAAGATTTACAGCTGAATTCTCATCAGTATCTATGGAGGCCAGAAGGCAGAGGGATGACATATTCAAAGTGCTAAAAGAAAAATACTGTCAACCAAGAATTCTATATCTGGCAAAATATCACTCAAAAATGAAGGCAAAATTAAGACATCACCAAATAAACAAAAACTGACAGAATTCATTTCTAGTAGACTTGCCCTATATGAAATACTAAAGAGAGTGCTTCAGGCTGAAATGAAAGGATATTGATAGTAACTCAAATCTGCAGGAAGAAATAAAGAACACTGCTAAAGATAACTATATAGGTAAAAATAAAAGATGGTATAAACATATTTTTTTGTTTGTAGCTGTTTTATTCTCTTATCTGGTTTAAAAGACAACTGCATAAAGTAATAATAAGTTTGTGTTGATGGGCATAAATGTACAAAGATGTAATTTGTTGCATCTTTATTGCTATTATTGCTGACAATAACAGCTCGAAAGAGTGGGGAAAAAATGGAGCTATGTAAGAGTAAGTTTTTTAGTATTATCATAATTAAGCTGATATTAATTTGAACTACATTGTTCTAAATTAAGAGGTTAATTGTAATCCCCAGGACAACCACTAAGAAAACAACTCAAAAGAATATATTTAAAGAAACAAGGGAATTAAAATACTACACCACAAAATATTCATTTAACACAGAAGGAGGTAGTAATGGAGGAATAGAGGAACAAAAACCACACAAGATATACAGAAAACAAATAGCAAAGTGGCAGGCATAAACCCTACCGCATCAGTAATTATATTAAATGCAAATTATTAAACACTCCAATTAAAAGGCAGAGTTTGGAAGAATTGATTTTACAAATGATACAATTATATGCTGTCTACAAGTGACACACTTCAGATTCAAAGATATAAACAGGTTGGAAGTAAAAGAATGGAAAAAGATGTATCACGCAAATAGTAAGCAAAAGAGAGCTGCAGTGGCTATACTAATAGCAGACAAAATAGACTTTAAGACATAAATTATTACTAGAAACAAAGAAGGACATTTTATAATGATAAAATGGTCAATCCATCAGTGAATTATACCAATTATAAACACATATGTACCTAAAAACAGAGCCCCATGATACATGAAGCAAAAGCTAACAGAATTGAAGGAGATAGAGTTCAACAATAATAGTTGGAGACTTCAATACCCCACTGTCAATAATGGATAGAACATACAGACAGAAGATCAATAAGGAAATAAAGGACTTGAACAATACTATAAACTTACTAAACCTAATAGACATATATAGCACTCCACCCAACAACAGCAGAAAATACATTCTTCTCAAGTGCACATGAAACATTCTCCACAGGCCACATGTTTGACCACAAAACTAGTCTCAATAAATTGAAAGAGATTGAAATTATAAAGATATTTTCCCTGGCCACAATGGAATGAAGCTAGAAATCAATAACAGAAAGTAAATTGGAACATTCACAAATATGTAGAAATTAAACAACACACAAACAACCACTGGGTCAAAGAAGAAATTACAAGAGATATAAGAAAATACTTAGAAACAAATGAAAATGAAACACAACATACCAAAACTTATGGAATACAGTGAAATCAGTGCTAATAGGGAAATTTATAGCTATAAGCGCTTACATTAAAAAAGATAAAAGACCTCAAATCAATGGCCTAACTTTACAACCTAAGGAACTAGTTAAAGAAGAACAAACTAAACCCAAAGCTAGCAAAAGGAAAGAAACAATAAAGATTAGAGCAGAGATTGAAAAAAAAAAAATAGAGAATAGGAAAACAATAGAGAAAAATCAACAATACCAAAAGTTGGTTTTTTGAAAAGATTAACAAAATTGACAAACCTTTAGCCAGACTAACCAAGAAAAAAAGACCGAAGATCCAAATAACTAAAATTGGAAATAAAAGAGAGGCCATTACCACTGCCTTTGTAGAAATAAAGATTACAAGGGAATACTTTGAATAGTTGTGTGCCAACAAATTGTATAACCCTAGGTGAAATGGACACGTTCCACGAAAGACACAAGCTACTGAAGCTGACTCAAAAAGAAATAGAAAATCTGAACAGACCTATAACAAGTAAAGAAATTGAATCAGTAGTTTTAAAATTTGCTACAAAGAAAAGCTCAGGGCCAGGTGGCTTCACTGGTGATCCTTCACAAATTTTTCAAAAAAGTGGAGGAGGAGAGAATGCTTTCTAACTTATTCTACGAGGCCAGCATCACCCTGATACCAACACCAAAGACATCACAAGAAAAGAGAACAATAGACCAACATCCCTTATTAATATAGGTACAAAATCCTTAGCAAAATACTAGCAAACTGAATCTAATAGAAGTTAAAGGATTATACAACATGACCAAGTGGGATTTATTCCAGGAATTCAAGGGTGGTTCAGCACAAGAAAATCA